TTTTTAGTCACAACCATTTTTTTTAATGATTCACAAACCAAAGCTATAACATTCAATCTTATTTTATTTTTTTGGCTCAACAATAAATCAAATACACATTAAATTAACATTTCACGATTATTCTGTCAAATTTTATGCACATCTAAATTATTTTAATTTATTTAAAAATTAAGGACACTATCTATGGTAGGGATTTCGGTTTGCTTTTTATGTTATTTTATTTTGTGTTGTTATTCTAATTTTCAGAATGGTTTGCTGTCTAGAAATTTCAAATTAGACGAGTATGAATCTATTTGTTTTATCGCTTACACACAAGTTATACAACATATATATCATATATATATATATGAATGTATTTTGAAAATAAGGAATTGTAGAGAATCAAAACAAGGATGACTCATGTGATTGGTATAGAAATATGCGGTACAAAAGTTCTATTGCTAGAAAAATGAACAAAGGGAATAGACAAAGTCTTGACTAAATAAATTTTGTGGATAAATAAAAAGAATTTTCTTAGTTTGAACAGATTTACTGAAATCAGCTTGTTCTTCCACAATGTTATGCTTCATTTATTTAGATAGAAAATATTTTTTAATGGAAAATATGTTTTATAAAAAAAATTAAAATATATTTTTTATATTTGGTGGTGGTCGTGATGGAACGAAGGTGCAAAGTAGAGATTGTACATGTGGTGGGTATGGCGCAGTGATATGGTAGTGGCTATGGTGATGGCTAGATTGACAGTGAACAGTGAGAATGTGGTGATGGTTGTTGTGAAATTAGGTAAAATTAATTGAAAAAATATTTTTTTTGTTTTTGTAAAAGAACAAACAACAAAATTTGTGAGGGACTAAAGGAAAATGATGGACGATGAATTGGGTGTGTAAGCATAGATTATCTAAAATGACGTGTTCAGATTTTGTTAAAGTATATTTGGTTTGGAATAAATTAAAATGAATGATTCAATTTGGAAAGAGAAAGATTGGTTTATATGTCTAAAACTGTCGTGGCTAAGAGATCAACAACAATTCCTTATTTATGCCCTAAATGCAATAATATGGTCTTATAACACTTTCTTCAAACAACTTCTTTGATTGTCGCAAACATTATATATTTGATTATTATAAAACAAAACTTTTTAATTAATTAATTAATGTGTATTTGATATTCTGTTGTTAACCAAATAAAATAAAATAAGATTGAATGTATATTTAGCTATCTTGTTGTTGAACCTTAAAAAATAAAAAAATAAATACAAATTAGTTGTTAACATTTAAATATATTAAAAAAGACAAGAAACAAGATGAAGGTTATATTTAGCTAAAATTTTATAAAACAAAAGAAAAAAGAAGTGTAACATTAATATATTAAAAAAGAAAGAAAAAAGATGAAGGTATATTTAACTTTGTGTGAACCTTTAAAAAAAATAAATAAATAATAAAAATAAAAAAATAAAAGAATTTGTTAACATTAAATATTATTAAAAGAAAGAAAAATCAATTGAAGGTATATTTGGTTTTGTTGTGAACCTAAAAAAAAAAAAAAAAAAAAAAAAAAAAAGTCAGTTAACATTAAGTATAAAAATAAAAATGAGGATTTAAAGTGGGTTGGGGAAAATTGCTAGGGGAGGCCTCAGTTGAGGAAGAAATGGGAGGTGGTACCCATGGGAATCGGGAAATCGGGAAAATGGGGAAAAATTTATTAATAGGGGGAATGGGATGGAAAATTAAATATCCACCCCATTGGCCCCCATTGCCATTCCTACACCAAAAGGGCTAGGCCCCCCGAGATGCGATAGGATCAACATAGCATTTATTCGGGAAGTTAAGGCATCGCCGAATTCTTTCCAGCAGAGTTCTCTTATTCTTGGTTAATTTGTTTACATTTACACTATTGAGAGCCTTCAATAATGTAATATTAGAAGGTGTGTACTCACATGGGTGTCTTAAAATTTACAGTTACAAATGTGCACTTACAAAAGGCCCATGGTTTGAACAGGATACCTTAATACATGATCTAAAGAAAATTGTAACGTTCTTACCGACTCAAATATTACATTATATGAAGAAAAAAATTTTTCTCCTATTTATTGGCGACACTCACTCTCTGCTAGAATTTTTGTGAACTTCTTCTCAACTTGTATTCAATGGCGACATTGTGTAGAGCAAGTCACAATTCATTAATATTTGGACTATAGATTTTATTTTTTTTACTTCTTTTTTTTGTAATTGATAAAACTTTGCATCTGAACAAGGAAAACAAAGAACAAAAAGCAAAAAAGCACACATTCAGCATTTAACCATCCCTCAAAAACCAATCTGCTCATAATGGGTGAGATGACAAAAGTTTTGGAGCTACAAAAATTGTTACAAATTACATTCATCTATAGATTAATAGAATGAAGATTTCATCCTTGTACATAAACACTATTGTGAATCGTGATTCAATAATAGAGTCGAGACAGCCTCGAGAAGAAGATGAGAAATCTCATTCACCATTTGGGTAACAAATTCAGTAATCTCTCCTACCACTATCATATTCTATACATGCCACTATCTACCACCAACACCGCTATCATATTCTATACATGCCACTATCTACCACCAACACCACTATCATATGCCACTATCTTATTATATGCATTAACACAAATTTCCAGCATTAAGTTCATAATTTTACTTGCCCAAAAAAAAGTTCATAATTTTAATCAGTTTTGGAACATGACTCAATTGTAAGAATCTACTGTGCCTGTGCCTGTAAATTCTATAAAAAACCACATGCAATAATCATTGACCTATGGACATCCAAAGACCCTCAATCAAACCCCATCCTGACTAAAACATACATACAAAGAAAAAAGAGATCAAACATGCAACTTTCACTCAAAATTTTCCATCCACTATTACTTGATATATTCACACGAGTTGCTGCAAACTGCAAATAAATTTCATACCTGTTATTTTGGCCAAACTATACTCAGTGGGCACATTGGTATCCACCTCAACAGCAGCCTTGGCTGCAGCAATACCGACAGCCAAACTTTGCATAACATTCAAACCTGCACAAATACAAGCTAGTGCCCCACCAACTAAGCAATCCCCAGCCCCTGTAAGCCTTACAACGGACGCAGGAAGTGCAGGAAAGTGTGCAGCGAATAGATTAGAGCCTCCCTCAAACTTTGAAGCGCTAAAAAATCGATTTGGAGGACAGCTTGAATTCACTAATCTATATAACTGATTGCCAGAACCGTGAGGGTTGCTACCCTTCGAACTTCCTTTCATAAATCCAGGTGCTCCATTAGAACATAAGAGCACCCCATCTGATCCAAGAGTCACAACAACTACTTTAATACCTTCCTCCAGCAAAACCCATATTGCTGGCCTAAGCATTTGGAACAAAGACTCTGTCGAACACTTATTTTTCTTGTTATCCTTTTGAATTGGACTAAAAACTTCTCCACAAGACAGAGCATTTGCCATGGCAATAAGTTCATCTTCATTGGGTGAAGCAAAAGTTATCTGTAAAACCCTTTCATTAGCAGCAGAAATGTTCAAAGCATATCTGTAAAATAGAATGCATAAATCAGTGGCTTTATTGAAACAAAAGCATCTGTTAATCTACCCTTTCAAAGTGGTTTGAGTTAAATAAATATTAGAATTTTTTGTTCAAATTTAAACTCTATTGCTGAACACAAACCACAAGAAAGAGAGGAGCAAGAACCACAACCAAATGATTAGAGCTCAAGCAAAGCAACTATCGTCTCAAGTATATCACAAGTTCACCGTCTAATTTGGACAATCTATGAAAGAAAACTTTAGCACTCACATGCTTGACAACTGAAACAACTCTTTTGGATTTTACAACCGAGACAGGCTCAAACCACACAGGGATGCCAGATTCTGCAGCCACTGCCACAAAAAAAAAAAAAGAAAAAAAGAAAAAAGAGTAAACTATTAAAAAATATAAATTTAAATAACTTCACAAATAAACAAAAGACTTTTGAGGGAAGCAGCAGTCATTGTCAGAATCAGTTAAAAAACCCAAGTTATGTATTGTTTATCTCAAAGTGCAAGGACAGAGAGTCGCAGAAGAAACAAATAAATGAAAAACACAGTGGGACCCTGCACTATTAGTTTTTACAATCAACGAAGGCTGGTCCATTCCTCAATTCTGTATGAGAACAATGAATATGCCTGAAGTGCACGTCTGAAGTGCAGTTTTCAACATCATAGATTAACCACAATGGCATATGCCTCATCCACCAACATTCATTCACTCTATTATGTGATTATGTATAAATGAACCCAATAGTCTGTATGAGAACAATGTATAAAAGACAAAAAGCAAATGTTGCTTCATGTATTTTTTCTTTTCCTGCATACAAATATATATATATATATATATATTAAAACAATATAAGGACCATTAACCTATAATTTAATTATCCATCCAAAAATCATGACATGCCTTTTCACATTGGAGCTTGCCATGCGCATATCATTTAATGCTTTCATCTAATATGGAGAAAACTACAACAAATGAGAGAGAGAGAGAGAGAGATGTAAAGATAGAAAAAGATGGTACTTCTGCAAGATGCTTCCAAAGTGGGAGGACTTAAGTTTGCATCTACCATCATTACTGGAGCAGCACGTATATTACAGTTGAATTGTCGAATCCATTCAGGTGTAAGAAATTTTTCCTGTGTCAGAGTCATTAAATAAACACTCAAAGAAGGCATCTCCATGTAAACCCTAAGGCAACAACTTTGTTAAAGAACAACTTACAATTGCTTCCACACTAGCAACCGCAGCTCCCAACTCTCCTTTAACATCAAAGATGTTGCATACAACAGCAGTCTCAATATCTTGGCGCCTTTGAATTCCTAAATCCAAAATGAATATTCTGGTAATACTTCAGAGATATACTTCTTGTGATACTCTTCATCTCACAAATACCAAAAACAAAAAATCGAATTTTTCCTATTGTTACATTGATTTTCCAAATGGGAAAGAGAAAAAAGAAACTGGCAAAAGAAAAGAGAAGCAGCCACATGTGGCCACTGTAAATTAAATGTATTATTTTATATATTTTATTTTTTCCCTACAAATTATGTCTAACAGAGACCCCAGTCTGTGTACATCATCAATAAACAAATCAAATCACTCATTAATATCAAAATAGCTTCTAAAAGATACAATCAATCCCTCAATTGGCACAATAATTCACAAACTGTACATGCTTCCCTCTCTTCCTAAGCAGCCGTGTTGCTTCAATTAAGTCTTTATATTAATCTACTTTTGTGTACTTTTTCCTCAAATTGTTTTGAATAGTTTTTCTAAAATTTTTAGAGACAATGGCAAAAAAATGATATAAACTCAAAATAATTACAAAGAGATGGATGCAAAAGACTTTGTTGCACAATTTAATGCATAAATTGGTTGTACTTCCATAACATTGCAATTATTTTGTGTTGATGCCACTTTTTTGCAATTCTCCCAAATTTTTACTGAGGTTTGCTGTTATTGCCATCTTCCTAACATATTCACGATACGTTCCTCATTGATTTGCGTGCTCCTGAACCTATTCCAAAATTAAACAGAATGCTCAAAATGGTCACTATGCTAGAGTGATGCGTAAATCAAACATGAATATCATTTATGGTGTAAGTCATGGTGCAAGAAAAGAAGTACATAGTTGATCCAAGACTCAAACGAGTAAAACCAACTTGTTTCACAGCAAACAACATGAGTAGTTCATATTCCGACTCAAATTTTGGTACTATAGAGTAGAAAAAATTCATGCATTTGGCCAAATGACTCCAAACCTGTGTTACATGGACTCGCCACTTTGGGGCGAAGTACCCGTGTCGACACGACACGACACGGGCGCGGGTGTGGGATCTATGTCGGATTTGTTTATTCTCTATCGGACACGGCTCACAGCAAAAGAAATGAAAGAGGTGAGAGCAAGAGATAACCTGGTCGAATGATCCAGTCGAAGCTCCATCCAGTCGAAGCTCCATCCGGTCGATCCAGTCGAAGATCGAAGCTCCGTCAGTCGATCGGACAGCCGAACACCCCCAGACGGCTCTCTCTCTCTCTCGCTTTCTCTCTCTCCCTCACGATCGCAATCGCAAGCAATCGATCGATCGATTGCTTCCTTCGCTGCGCTTCTCTCTCTCGTCCCTGTCTCTCTCTCTCTCGTCCTTCACTGATCTTCCTTCACATCTATATTCGTATATATCTATATAAAATAATAATAGTTAATAACTATTATTATAATAAATATAATAATAACTATTGTCTCTATCCATTCGTATATATCTATATAAAATAATAATAGTTAATAATTATTATTATAATAACTATAATAATAACAATTATTATTATATATTATAATAATAATAGTTAATAATTATTATTATAATAACTATAATAATAACAATTATTATTATATATTATATAATAATTATTGTCTAGCATATAATATATTTATAAGGTAGTATATACTTATATATATTAATAAAAATAAATAAACACATATATGTAAAATAATTATTTGTTATTTATATAATATAACTCATCTTAATAACTATATTTAAAATATATATATATATTTAACGTATCCCCGTACCCGTATCTAAATTTGGATACATATCCACGTATCCTTAATTTTTAATTTTAAAGTGTCTGACCCCTAGATACGCACCCGCACCCGATCCTCGTACCCGCGTCCGTGTAACTTAGCTCCAAACTAATACTAAAACCAGTAATCATCACATATGAAGGATCATATTAAAAGATTAAGAAGTCTACCATCTAGGGACAGTCCAGCTGATTTCCAGTGCTCCAGCAGCAAATTTCCTATTAGAGAAAAAGAACATCTATCAGTTCCACGATTAGTAATTTTTGTTCTTCTCATTTGCTGCTTCCTATAGAATCCAAAAGGCATATTTAGAGATTCTTCTCAATAAAAAATAAAAAATAAATTTAAAAAAACACACAAAGTCTAGCAAAGCCCTGTCAACAAGTCAGTTATAATTCATATTAGAAAAAGAAAGAAAGGTTGGATATAACTCTGGTGCATTAAGATGTCTAGCTTAAGAGATTATTAGTTTGAATCTAAATCAACAAACGGATTCAAATGTATCCAGTAAAATCTAATGTCTAATGCAAGAATCAAAGAGAAGAAGGTAAGTTACATGCATATATCTAAAATTTGTGTGCATGTGAACACATTTGGACATCATTAGAAAAACGGCACGGTTATCGAAGTCATAATTTTCAATCTTCAGAACATTGACTTTATATATCTAGACAATGGACCAATTTCTTTCCCATAAATTTAATATCATTGTAAGACCCATCATATGTTGTTGTAATGCAGCCCCACCAGCCAATTAGGATAAACACGTATGAAACTAAGGGCAGCATATCTCACATAAGTATTCACCTGCCATGTCAAGTCCAACAACACTTATCATGTAAGGTTTTGCTCCGAGCTTTGACATGCACTCGGCAACATTTCTTGCTACACCACCTAGTATATAATGCACCTGAATAAAAGAACTCCACATTATAGGCAGGTAAAAGAAAATTATAAAGAAAGTATTTTCTATTTTACTATCAAATTGTTCACCTACAGTTTGAATGAATTAAATTGAATCTACACCTACCTTCATGTTATGGTGAAAACTTAGTGAAACCATGCACTAGAAAACAGCACATAAATAAAGACACGAATTACTAATTAGGTATTTCTGGTAACAAGAATTTTTAATGAATAGAAGCACAAAAGAGGGTAGATGATTAAAACATCAGGTTTAGCAATGCTAGATCCTTTTATGTCAAAAGCAAACTTAAATACAATCAATAATTAACCTACCTGAAAACTTTACAATTTATTTATAATTTGATAGGAAATTAAAAGTGAAATTTAGTAGTACATCCCTCTAGGATAACTTCATATTAGAATAAATCAATGTGAAAGAGGTGTGTACGATAGAGTTAGGGTCCCTGATGAGTTTTTAGATTTTCAAAGATAAGTTCATTTTTGCACTTATTATTATTTTTTTATGACAGATTTATCCGGGAGATCCATTTTCGACGTTGCATCACTGCCATTACCAAAGAGTTACCCTTTAAGTAACTAGAAGGGTGAGGATTATGTCATTTCCACACTAACAGTCACATTAATGTGAACAATGATACAATTCTATGCCTCTAGAGACAGAAACCAAGAATGTTGGGTCTGAAAAGGCAACTAAATTAGTAAACTCTTCAGCCTCTCCAAAGAGATGATGTTCAAAAGTATGCAAACACGTACCATCGATCATTCACAACCAAGTCTAGGAAGAAGGTCAGTAAACTCCTAAGATCCAGAGATTTGTTATTCCATTGGACATGCAAAATGATATGGGCTAGCATTGCAGAGAAGACAAAGATAATAGTAAAGGCTTGAGCTGAGGTAGCTGGTTACCAAAAGCTCCTAAGATCTAGAATTGTTATTCCATTGACAGTTGCAAAGATATACGGACTACAGATTGCAGAGAAGAAGAAGATAAGTAAAGGCTGAAGCTGAGGTAGCTGTTACCAAAAGCTCCTCACTACCAGATTGAAGAGGTAAGAGAGAGAGAGAGAGAAGGAGAGAGGTGACATGAGAGCTTGTCAATAAAAGATTCAGGCTCCCTACTAGTCAGTGACATGCAGATCATTTGATTGATCCGCAGGTGGGTGGGTGGGTTTAGTATTTTCCAAAGCCAGAGAAGGTAGAGTAGAAGTAAACAGTGTAAAATCTAAGGGTGTGTTTGGTTTGTGTTTGTAGAGTAGTTTTTGAGATAAAAAGTACGAAAATTTGTTTGGTTTGTCTTTTTTCAGAAATAGTTTTAGAAAATTGTTTTGGGGAGAGAATTTTAAAAAAAGTGGTTGATTTGATGTGTATGAGAGAGAGTGTGATTTTGGAAAGTAGATAACTATACAAAATTTTGAGATTTTTTTTCAAAAAATTTGTTTGGTTTGATTACTTTTAAAAATTTATTTGTAGAGAATTTTTTCCAAAAATTTTTCTGAGAAACAAACCAAACAAGGCCTAAGAGTTTTGGTGTCTTGGGGACAAAATAGTGACTAATAAAGTTATAATTGATAATTATGACTTGAATAATACAGCCATAAAACTGAGAATTTTTTCTATTTTAGAACATAGAAATTTTAAATGGAAACGTCAAAAAAACAACGCCCAATTAGTACACATTAATGTGTGTTTGGGAGGGGAAAGATTGAGTACACACCTAACCTTGGTATAATGCACAAAGTGGTGGTCCCAAGCCTTGAACCTATAACCTCAAGGTTCCTAATTTCAAATGGAAACCTCAATTTTAAAATTTAGCTCTGAATTTGAAATTAGGTTCCTAATTTTTATAATTAGCCTTCAAGTTTACAAAATTTAGCCCTTGATAAAAAAATTCACTGTGCTAATAACAGTGAACTTGGTTAAAATTTTCAAATTTTCTTTTTCGAATTTCATATTTATCATAGATCTAGTTCGATAAGTCTTGTCAAAAGGATTCCAAAAATACCAATTTTATCGAAAACGGAGATCTATATCAAAAGTTATTAAATAATTTAGTTTTGAAACAAGTTTAAAAAATGAAAGCTAGCGCTGGATACCTTGAGCATTAGTGCAGGGGCATTTGTCTAAAAATTGACCTCTAAAATATTAGAAAACTAGAACTAGGAAATCTTATAATGGAGGAACTCTATATAAATTTCCCAAATTAAAATGAGCAGCTATTCAAAAAACTTCCCAGGACAACATGTTAGCTTCTGTTGCTACCAAAGGGTAACTCAAAAGGTGTCTTAAACAAATAATCAAAAGATCAGCACATTGCTATTCATGTGATGATTGAAAGTCTTCCACTAGATTAGGCTAGCTCCTCTTAAAATTTGCTAGTTTTTTATTTGCCTAATCCTCACAACAGTTGTAAGAACAGATACCATAAATATTTTTCACTAACCATTCTTAGAAAGGTTCTACCCATTCCTGACATGAAGTAAATCAATCAACTAGGTAGATGATTTAAACAAAAGAAATCCTTGTAAAATAATAACTTTTAAGTACTATAAATAAATTGTATTAAAAGAGCATCAACCTTAGGTATTATCCACGACTATGCAAAGAAACCCTCTGTCCATGTCAAATATAAAGTACATGAATTGACATGGTAGGTCAAAGGAAATTCAGATAAAATATACTATCCTTAGAAAGTCTCCCACTAGATCATAGCAAATCCTCAAAAAATGCACTAGTCCATTCTTCACCTAATCCCCAACATAGTGTTCCAAGTAGATACCTCAAGTATTACTCATGCACTACATAAGAAATATTCTATCTATGTCAAATGCATGGCATAGTAATCAACAAGGTTTGTGATTTACAATGGGAATTGATGCGAAATAATATTGTAATAAATATTACTAATCAAAGTTCAGATTCACTATGAAAAACTTGCATTGTAAGTGATGGATGCATCGAGTTCCTTTATTATGTGTTTGCACTTTGTACACTTCAACTTGCAATTGAATGAAGGCACTCTAACACCTACTATGAAGCATGGGTATTTTGACAAGCATGCCATACTTGTACCGGGTACCGGTCGGTACTTCATATAGTTACTTCTACATACGTATCGGGTACACAAAACACGTATCTAAATTTTTCTTCTTAATTTTTGCTGTGTTGTAGACGTACCTAATATATATCTAAGTTGTACCTCATTCAAAATAGTGTTTTCTTCTAATACAAAGGTAAAATTAGTTTCATTGAACTTTATTTATTTATTATTATTATTATGCTTAGCATGATTTTAAAATTAAATTATGGTTTATAAGTTAAACAATATAATGACATTTAATTTTGACTTTGACTTTTACTTTTGACATTAATTGTGAACTGTTGATTGGATCGTAACAAACTAAATCATTGAACTAATAAATATGCTTTTATAAACGTACCTAGCTGTACCAGCATCCTATTTTATTTAGATTTTACCATATCGACGTTCCCGTATTGGACTAGTACTCGTATCCATACCCGTACCCATGCTTCATGGAACACCTAACTGCAGATATGGGGATTGACACAATGTGAATCAAAATTATTTCTAACGGGTCACTCTCGTTTCTCTATTCCAAGCATTGGGTTTCGGTTATAAAAGCAAAGTGGCAAAGAGCATGTTCATCGTGTAGACTCGCCTCCACAAATTGACAACTACACAGACAAAAAAAAAGAAAGGAAAAGAAAAAAGAGAGAAGCAAAATCTTCTGAAGGACCACCTTTACAGTTGTGATATGAATTCAGTAATTAGGTTATTGGACACAAGGACATTATTCAATTTACAACAAGCACAAGAAGAACATGTTTATGAAGTTGTTGAGGCATTGCAATCAAACAATCACTTTACCAGGAATAACAAAATCCAACAGACTTGTAAATTTTATAGACAAAGAGATGTTCATTCACATTTACATATTGACAAGATAATCAATCTGAGAATTTCATAAATACCTTGCCAGGAGTGGTGGTCCTTGGATTTGCAGGCACAGAAGGAGTGGCATGTATGTCCAACACCATACCCCCAATTATCACTGGCTTTGCCTCAACATCTTTCAATTCTCCATCTTTAAGTAAAACCTAAAAGAGCATATATATATATATATATGCACACACAAACAAACAATATATATATATATATATATATGTACATGAATGTGTATATGTGGAATTGTAAAACTCGATCAATGAAAATATATTTAATTAAAAAAGATTAACAATATAACAAGAAAGTTATGAAATCGTACCGAGGGAAGAGCAGGAACGCTGCTCTCCATTTTTGCCCTGAGATTGCTCTCGATTGGTAGTGAACTGTGTACAGTCCTCGCCGTGTGTTATTGGATTCTGTTTATGGACTCGATTGCTTTTAATGGGCTGTTAAATCTGGGCCAAAACATTTATATTTACCCATGGGCTCAATAAAGCCCAAAGTAGTTTCATTACTTCTAACAAGGCCCACATAAATTTATCTCAATTAATGGGCTTCACAGCCACAGCCCAACACAAAACCCAAAATTAAAAATACAAAAAATCATAAATAAACCAAAAAAATCAATAATTTGGGGATTCTCGAGGTGTTTGTTTGGATTTTTTTGAGCCAACTTATAACTTCTAACTTTCGAAAAATTATTTTGGATTATTTGGTTATAGTTATTTCAAACAGTTTTTGATTCAAATAACTTATTTTAACTCAAAAAAGCTGATTCTGAGAAGTTGCTCACCCCTTATTTTTGATTATTAGTTTCTCCTGTGGACATGTTAATTTATGGTTATACTCTTATATTTTTGTATTTTTAATTTTTTTAAAAATAGAAAAAGACCTAAATGGATCATAAATTATTATTATTATTTTTTTATAAAAAATGTAGACAAGTAGTGAATAACAAAAAATAAAAATTAATTGAAAAAGTTATTTCACAACTTATTTAACAAACATTACTTGGCAACTTAAATCTATAATCCAATAACTACACCAAACAGATTAATAGTTTCTAATTAAAATCATAATTTATAATTTATAATCTATTTTAATAGTTACATCAAACGAAACCTATCGCTCTCTAATAAGATATATATATATATATATATGCATATTGATCTGTTTAGAGCATCTCCAACGGTGAACTTTTTTTTTCACCAAATCTGAGTAAAAATGACTCATTTCACCAAATCTGATATCAGTAGCTCCAACAGTGCATCAAATCCCGTAGGTCAACCGGTTGGTCGACCGGTGGGTCGACCGGTAAGCGTAAATATATATATATTTTTTTGCAGCTTGAAACATTTTCGTAACCACTCTCCATCAAATTTTGAGGAAAATTGAAACAGAGCTCATTGATTCCATAACCACTCTCCATCAAATTCTGTGAAACACCCAAAGGAAACCCAAAATTATCTGGATACAACTGTGCCCATCATATACGCAAACAAGACCAGAATCGAAATGGGTTTTTGATTCAAAACAAGAACTTGATTAATTGTTTTGGTATGTAATTGTTAACGTACAGCTTGGTTTTGGTATGTAATTGTTAACATACAGCTTCATCATCTTCATCAAGAACTTGGTATGTAATCAGAACAACTTCATCTCTGTTTTGGTTTTGGTGGGTTGACCGGCCGGTCGACCAGTAAGGCAAAATGTATTTTTTTTTTACCTGTTTGAACATTTTTTGACCGGTTTGAACCAACCTATTTGAATGGAATTCGGTCGACCGGTTGGTCAACCGGCCGGGCAACCGGTTGGTCGACCGGGTCCTCCCTCTAACGGTCACAAACAGTGTTTTGGTGAAATCAGTATCTTGTCCTCAGTTTGATGAATTGTTTGATGAAATCTCAATCTGATATCGATTTGGTGCAACCGTTGGAGTAGTAAACAGTAACTTTTTCATCAAAATTTAAATTTGATGTCAACTTTGGTGAACCGTTGAAGATGGTCTTATGGTGTTGAATATGATGATTATTGTCATCGCCCTAGTCTGACAACTATTCTCTAGACGCTTGATGGTAGTCAACACTTCATTCTTTTGTGATTCTCATTCCATTTTCTCCTTCAATTTTCCTTCTTATGTGATTTTCATTCCATTTTCTTCTTCAATTTTCCTCAAATTTGGTTTTCACTTTGCTTTTCTGTTTTCCTACTATGTATAGGAGTACAATTAATCACAAACAATCAAGAAAACAGATTTGGCCTTAGTTCTTGATATTAATTATTTGGTTTTTTTTGTTTGTTTGAATTTATTCAATGCTCGTCTAAATGAATGGAATAATGATTTTTTGATAATTATGCTCATAGTTTTAAAGATGAAGAGAGTTGAATATAAATAATACGTACAAGTGATTTGTGTATACTGTGAAAAAAATATATTTTATTTTAGAATTTATGTGTATTGTCATTATTAGTAAATTTATATTAGGATATAATAAGAATTAAAATTTCAAAATTGAGTGCCCCATCAATTATGTTAGACTCTCCATTTCTTTGGATCTCCATTTATAAATTTTAAAAATTTTAAAATTTCTTTTCTCTCCCAAATAATACTAAAATTATCGTTGTGAAAACATTTCATCCATTCAATTGAATGCACATCCCACACTCCAAAAAGCCTTTCTCCCAGAAACCCTAACAAAACTCATGAACGTGATTATAATTTAATCTCCACATACTCGTTCATGACTTGAAAAAATGAATGTTCGATTATCTATTCCTGATCAAATAAATAATGTTCGGCCTGTGTTCCCGAATTTCGATCATTTGTTCGGGAGTTCAGTTCTGAAAAAATGACGAACAATTTTTATTATTTTTTTTTTCAAGAAGCTTACCCTTATAAGGTCAATCTCTTTAAGGTCAATCTCTTTGAGCTAATAACACTATCAAAGTTATGACCCTCCTCTAAGTTTTTATTATTATAATCAACTCATATCATGGAGTTGTAGTTACTAAAAAAACTTCCACTCACTATCATTGCCGGAGAAGTGCAGGTACCCAAATGGTTGTCACCGTTACTGAAGAATATTGCCACCAAAGGATTTTTAAGGTTTTAATGGTGGGTAGGTTTTGAGGTTGGGATTTGGGAAAGATGGATGGATAGTGATGGAGGTGGGTGCTATCATAAATCCTAACTCATGATGTAGCAGGTGTATGGATTTAATTGTGAGATGGGGTGTCTCAAAATTATTGATATCTTTTTTAGTAATTTCATTTGAGGTTATTATTGTAATAATAATAAAAAAGAGTTAAAGAATGAGGGGTCCAAAATAATTGATAAGGTACTAATAACAATCCTCTTCAAAATTTTAATTAAACGTAAGTTATTATTTGGGTGCAAATAAAGTCACCCAAAATCATGCCAAACCATTAATAGAGCATTGATCAATTTGAAAATTTTGTAAAATTATACACATTCTTTTTCTCTGATAATTTTACTCAATTTACTAAAAACTCAAGTAAAAAGCATCTTACAAAAATTTCATGATTTTTTGATACGCTGAAATATCTATAAAAAAATATAAAATCATAACATTTTTGCACAGAAAATCTAGCACCCAATTTGAATCCAAATCAGCCTAAGAATTTTATAAAATTCTTCTATAAGAGTTTAGATCTGAAATTTTTACCAAGTTTACTATACTCATGTATGAATCATATATTAAAATTTCATAAACTCTTGAGTTGTGCAATTATTTTTAAAAATTCACAAAGGTAAGATCTCTAACTCAAGAGATATAAATTTCAATCCAAACTTGTGTATCAAACTAAAAATTTTGTTTCAATTATCATAAACTATTCTACAAATGATTTTTTTAATATTAAAACAATCATGGACCATCAAACCACTCAATTAATTTATATAATAACTTTAAAAAAATTATTCCGATCATTACAGATACCTATTCTATCCTCAAAAATTTTAAACACATTTTTAGAACTCTCCACACAACAACTGGCGCCCAATCCACCATTGGATAAAAACAAAATCACAAGAAATCCTCACAACATTAGGAATGGCAACGGAACGGGGCGGGGCAGGGCCGAGGATCACACTCCCCGTCCCCGATCCCCGATGGTAAAAAATTTCCCGTCCCCGGCCCCAATCCCCGACGGGGAACCTATCACTGTCCCCATCCCCGCCCCCTAACGGGGATCGAGTTTCCCTGACCCCAAAAATTCCCCGCCCAAATCTGTTTCAACATCATCAACAACTTTTAGCATCAACAAAATCATTAAGAACATCATCAAAAAAATCATCAATAAGAAGTGGAGATAAAATTATCTAACAACAAAATCATTATCAACACTCTGTGCATCAACTACCAAAAAAATAAAATAAAAATAGACGAATAGATCTGAGATCAACACAGATCTGAGTGTGTATTATCAATCAACACAGATCTGAGACCTGTGTGTCATCAAACAAATTTGAGATCGACGATGGTGACTGCGATGAAGGTGGACGGCGGTGGCTGCGATCGGCAATGGTGACTGCGACGAAGGTGGACGACGATGGCTCCGACGGACGATGACGATGGACGAAGGCGATGGACAACGGAGGAGGACGACACAACGAGGCGATAGAGGCGGTAGCGCTGAGGGGGAGGAGAGGTGCGAGAGTGAGAGAGAGAGAAAGATGAGAGACGGTGAGGAAGAGAACGAGAGAGAGAATAGAAAGAAGAGAGAAAGTGTGCTGATATGAAATGAAAGAGAGAGAGATAGAAACAATATATAGAAAGTATATTATATATATATATATATATTAAGTCGAGGACAAACGGGCCGGGACTGGGGCTTGGGCATTTATCACCGTCTCTGGCCTGAAATTGATCGGGGATTAATTTTTAAATACCATCCATGTCTCGTCGAGGGTATTTTTCGAGAAAAAACCGTTCAAATCGGAATCAGGGGATCGGGTCCTTGTCGGGCCGGTTTTAAATTGCCATCCCTATACAACATCCCCCTTGTCGTTCAAACTCTCAAAGTAGAGGTTTCAAGTGAACAATGATAGCAACACTGTAGTACACCATTATTACACCGTCGGCCACCACTGTCGTTAAAAAATTAAAATGTACAAAAACACTGAACCGAACATATACATTTTATTTTGATATGAAATACTAAACATCTAATAATTCATAGACACATTGCTAAATAAGTGATTTGTTTAGAATTGGATTTCCAAATAAAGCTCATAAAATTGATGTCCAAAAACAAAGAATCTGTACGAAAAAACGTATCTTCTCTATCATAAATAATTTTGAAACGTCTTATTCATTGTTCATCATTGATTTCAATATGAAATAGAATATAAGAATGATGGATTCAAGAAAAGTAAGATTGAGTATATGAATAGATG